CATGCAAATAACTCTTGTCACAATCTCAGTGAAGTCTAATGCAAGCCATTGCTGTTTTCTTAATTTCTCTTTTCCATTCCCTGCATAGACATTCAATAGATTTGAAGTTGCCATGAATTTCTTAACTACTAAAATTAAAACCAAAACCAAAAAGAGCATTTTCATTGTTGTGAAGAAAAATAGAATTGAGCTCTAATTTTCCATGGTAGAAGTCACCAAAAATACCAATCTGGATCCAGATTCCCCAAAACTCATTTTTCCATGATAATCGTGTCAATGTTCAGTGTAAGATCATATTAACATTCACTACTGTGACTTAAAAAAGGGAGGTGCCTTGGGAAGTAGGGAGAGGATCTAAGAATAGACCAAGTCTGCTTGGTAAGCAGCACCATGGGTCTGACGCTAAGACCCACTGATCCAGCTTGGGGAGAATTAAGTCAAAACTAAGTCCTCCCATTTGCTACCTGAGAGGAAGAAGGTGACATTGGAAACAAGCCCACACTTGGAAATGGTACAAAGTCATCAGGAACTCACTCTGTCAGCCTAGTAGGTCTTTGGATGGATACCTCTTTTCTTTACAGAAAAATGTTTGGAGCCAGGATACATGGTTTTCACATTTTAATGGCAATGCTCCTAGGTAACTCACTCTTTTCATTCTTTTTGTATAAGCTAATTGGTACCATTGTTAAGGTTTTTAAAATGTTTATGTAGCAACTAATGTGAATGCTATAGTAGATATTACTATCAAATGAAAATTAGATCTTTTGCGTAAGAGAAAGTTACTCAAAGTCATAAGGAAAAGAAATACTTATGAATTGAGACTTTGGTCTTTATATTTAATTTTTTCTTGGATTTCTATTTACTAAAATAAAGAAAACATCAAAGTCAAAATAGACAAAGATGAAACTTATTTTGTATATAAGTTTTTGTAGAAAACAATTTCTATTAGATATTTCATTAACTATTGCTTTCAATAAAGTGAGAATTATAGTGTCATTTTAATCGCCAATGATATTTACCTTAAATGTAAAGTCTATGTCCTTTTTATCTATTAGTATGATTTATTCTGACGAAAATATGGAACATACCAGATAGTAAAAATTTTCCCTATCATAATTATTTTTGAAATGCAATCTTATCACAGATTCAGATACTAAACTAAAGGAATTTTAGAAAAATAAAATGAAGCGACAGTTTTTAGTTAAATGAATTGACTTCACATAAACAGAATAACAGAAGCTTCAAGTAATCCACCTCATATCATAAATACTTAGATATAAATAACCAATTCATTGTCAACTAAAATACCCAATTAAGAAGACTGAATGACACAGGTAATCCCGTAAATTTTCCTAATCCTTTTATCTTGATTGACGGCAGATCTTGCTCTTGGCTGAGACAGTCAAATAGCCAATAAAAGAAGTTTCAATCTTTCTTCCCACTTTTAGTTTTCTGGGTTCATCAAATAGATAAGTCTGACCTTATTTTACGTTGCAGTTGTCAATAGAACTGGTTTTAAACAAGGCAAAAGCATAAATTACTGTTTATCCTTCTACTTTTAATATCTCATTCTGCTTATTTTCTTCAGACTTTGACCTTAATACGGGCTTTGTCTCCTCTTCTGTTGTCTGTTTTTTTCCATGATGGTAAAATTTAAAGCTAGCTTCTCTGTTTACATTTAAAGGAAACACATAACCAAGTTATTGGTAGTTATTTTGTGAAAGATCAAATGTGTACATTTTAGGAATTATGAGAAAAAATACAGTAAACAACAGTCAAGAAAGTACTACCATTTGCACTTATTTGCTGACCAAGGACGAATGAAAGGGTCCTGTAAATTATAAGGACATAAATGTCCTGTATCGGACGCTAAAGATCGTAGGTGTGGACAATTTTAATAGCTGTCTAGCTGGACTTCCCATCTCCGATTTCTTTTCACTTCACTCTGTTAAATATCCCTCTGGCAATGAACTTTATGAGAAACCATGTTGGTCTTCTATCCAACAATTACCCATTTATCTCCCCTGCCTTCAGAAAATAAATAAGTAAACAAATAAATAAAAATAAAACAAAACAATAAAAACTGTAAATTCCTAGACCTTCTCCAATCTGGTTATATTTAATCTTTCTGACTTGATTTTCCTACATAAATTCTCCACGCCAACTAGATTGCCAAATACACCCATCACCTCTAAATGTCTTAATGCTTTTCCACTGATGAGTTTTTTATTCAGTTATTTTCACATACCTCTCTGTCAATCCGATCTATACTTGAAGACCTATTTTAAATCCTATCTCTATATATCAGCCCAACCTGAAGAGATTTCTCTTTGCAGAGACTCTGCAGCAGCCATGGCTGATACAATTCACTTGGAATCCATGATATACTATCTAGGGCTATCTCTCCAGTGTTGTCTTGACTTACACTATTAGTTAATTTTTCACAAATTTGTCTTCTCCATTAAACTCGTTGAGGGCAGGGACAAGTTATTACTCCATGTTATCATCCACAGTATTTTACACATGGTAGATATGCCATCAATGTTTACGCATTCATTTAATTTGTAATATTGACTTTTCATAGCTAACGATTTATGATTATCTCTCATTCAATGCCTTTTCCCTAAAATTTTGCTAAGTCTTCTCTAACGTTCCCTGAGTTTGATCCTCAATTGTTATCCATACGTTCATTGGGAACCTGCTATGTACAGTGAATTTTCATAAATATGCATTTTTTTTATTCCGTTATATTTTGAGCATATTGAGGCCAGGTCTGTCTCTGCTACTTTGCACCTCTCACACTCCTCTGTGAGGGTAGGGCACAGAGTAGGTATTTTGTAAATTTGAGAATACAGTAAATTGAAGGTTCAACTGACAGGTCAAGATATGGTTGCCGTCAGTACGAAAGTGAATGATGCAAGAGACTGTAATGAGGAATGTCAAAGGAAATACAGATAATATGCTTCAGGCTTTTGAAATAGTTACACATTTCGGGCGTATGTGAAAATTCCTGAGAGGCAATTTGAAGGAGCGAGTCTATAAAGAGATTTCTTTGGAAAGACTTGCCCACTATGCTGTGAATTGTACTCCACCCCACAAATCTAGGGTTAGAAGCTACATTTTAACCCCAAGCAGAGTGAGTGGCTTCAAGGAAAACTCCAGTCTCACCTAAATTTGGGGGGAGGGAGAAATGGGCAACTTAGACTGGATTCTCTACCCACCTGGGGAATCTAAAGATGAAAAGGTGTGACTCTTAACCTGAGGCAGCAGGAAAGAGAGAGGAGGAGAATTGCCGCTGTGCTGTACTGAAAAGCAAATATGCTCCTCTCCGAAAGGTCAAAGGCACAGGAATCCTGAGGTCCACATGAGGAACTCATGGTAGAAATACAGTCAGTGGTCAGGGTCAAAGGAATCCTGCCCAATAGGTCTCTGTCAGAAGGTGAAGGAACCCCAACAGAGAGAGATGATGAAGGAGTAAACCTCAGTAAGTAAACCAATAGGAAAGGGTTGGGGGAGGGGCAGCATGTGAGCAGCTGGTCCAAGGAGAGGCAATGCCTGTCTCCCGGTCTCTGGAGCCTCAGCTGGAGGAACAGAGCAGGGGAGGCTCCGAGGAGCTCACAAATAGCCCCCAGAACAAATGTCAACTCGAAACACATGCCAGGCTCAGAGAACATGGAAGCATCTTACATCAGTACCAGTCAGGTGAAAACTTTCTGAGCCCTTCTAACACTCAGAAATCTGGAGATTGGGAGAATAGAGGGGAAAAAAAGAGGGAAGAAAATTTCCAAGTCCTCCTTCAAGACAGCCTGAAGTTGACCTAGCAAACAAAGAAAGCAGACTTAGTTCTAAATTGCATTGAGACTTTTGGTCATTATATGAGACTGGCCATTCTATAATTACTGCAGGGTTTTTTAAAAGTGATCATGAGACTATTACTGGAGAGTGAACAAAATAGTCTTGGGGTGTGCTGGGGATTTTATCCAGCGGTAGGGAAACCTTCCCGCCATTAAACATGTTTAAAGGCAGAGCGGGAGGAAAAAAAAAGTGTTTTGCTTTCATTATAACTCATGAGTTGGTCAATATTCCTCTTAATTAAATGATGGCTGATTAAGTTTTTTGTCTTCAAAATCCTGTGAAAACCAAATTAAAGTAAAATATCTTCTAATAGGAAGGTTTACATAAATTTAGTTAAATTAAACTTGCATTAGAATGCTTCTTTAGAATGTAGCCTGTAATTCCTGTGTCGGTTCTCTGTGCCTGTAAGGATGGTTATATAACAAATAAATCAGTTCAATTTAGTTTTATTTTTTCTACTCATCAAGCTTTTTATGACACATGTATGCTCAGCACTGTACAGGTGCCGTGGGAGACGCTAAGATTATAATACATCCACTCGTCTCACAGAGTTTGAAGTATTTTTGGATTAACTAAGATTGTATCTTAGAATGAATGGGACTCTCCATTCATATTAGAAGTCCTCCACTGGCAGAGTTTTCTAGACCATCTATATGTCTGGCAAACTTTTGTTTTAGGAACTGTGGGGAGGCACAAACAAGCAGAGGCTAAAATCACTGTTTCCAGTAGAATAGAGTGAAATCAGCATCCAGGACAGGATAAACAGTATCCAAGAATGGAGTCCCCAAATAAATAATTGGTATCTAGCATCGCTGTCAAGAGCAATCTTTTTCTGTCTTTTCATTTTTATGATATTCAGTGCCACATGTGTCTCTGACAATGGTAGTTTGAGTCAACCACCATATCTGGTAAATAATCTATTTCTAGAGAAAGAATTCAAAGTCTGCCAAGACTGCACTTTTCTGCACAATATGCGCAGAATGATAAATCGATTTTAGCTTCCCTCGATAACTATTCACATTTCACTCCATTCCTAAGCCTGAGCTAGTTCTTCACTTCCACAAGATTACACATAACAATTATGTGAAACTTCTATTTCTGATCTGAATATATGTCATTTCAACCTATTCTTTATTATTTAACAGGAATCTTCTGTGAAGAAGACATCGATGAATGCTCTTCAAATCCTTGCCAAAATGGTGGTACTTGTGAGAACTTGCCTGGAAATTACACTTGCCATTGCCCATTTGATAACCGTTCTGGAACATTTTATGGAGGAAGAGACTGTTCTGATATTCTCCTGGGCTGTACCCATCACCAATGTCTAAATAATGGAATATGCATCCCTCACTTCCAAAATGGCCAGCATGGATTCAGCTGCCTATGTCCATCTGGCTATACTGGGTCACTGTGTGAAATTGTCACCACCCTCTCTTTTGAGGGCAATGGCTTCCTGGGGGTCACAAGTGGCTCAGTTACAGCCGAGGGCTCAGTGTGTAGCATAGCCCTCAAGTTTCAGACTGTTCAGCCAATGGCACTTCTACTTCTCCGAGGCGACGGGGACATGTTTGTAATGCTGGAGTTGCTAAGTGGCTACATTCACTTATCAGTTCAAGTCAATAACCAGTCAAAGGTGCTTCTGTACATTTCCCACAACACCAGCGATGGAGAATGGCATTCAGTGGAGGTGGTGTTTGCAGACACTGTGACCCTTACTCTACTGGACGACTCTTGTAAGGAGAAATGCATCACTAAAGCTCCTTCCCCATTTGGAAAGGATCGATCCATATGTGCTTTTCCAAACTCCTTTTTGGGTGGTTTACCAATGGGAATGAACAGCAATGGTGTTGCTCTGCTTAACATCTATAATAGACCATCCACGCCTTCCTTTGTAGGCTGTCTCCAAGACATTAAAATTGATTCGAATCATATTACCCCAGAGAATATTTCATCTGGCTCATCCTTAAACATCAAGCCAGGCTGTATGAGAAAGGATTGGTGTGAAAGCCAGCCTTGTCAAAATAGAGGACGCTGTACCAACTTGTGGCTTAGTTACCAATGCGACTGCCACAGGCCCTATGGAGGCCTGAACTGTCTGAAAGGTGAGATAAGGCTGAGCTCCCAGGAGTGCTATGCCTCAGAGTAGAGCAGTAACAGAAACAGCTAGTCTGCCTCTATCTGTTATGAAACATAATGACCCCTCAGGACTTCTGCTGCTAGTTGCCTACTGATGAGAGAAAACAAGTGGTTAGTGATGTGCATTAATTAATTTTGAGTGCATTCATAGGACACCAGGGTTTCACTCATGCAGAGAAGTAAAAATTAAGCCCATAGCTCCTATCTAAATGGATTTTCATCTTGGTGTTTACAAATGCTATTATGATATTACCATTTGTTGTGCATCAGAAATTGATTGTAAATCTTATTTGAAAGAGAATCTTTTGAGAAAAAAAGGACTGTTAGACATGAAACTAGTCAATGCCAAATACTAGCACCACATTTTGTGCACAGTAGATTCTTAGTAAGTATTTTACTTCCTTGCCCTCCTTTCTATGCAATTCACACTTGCTCCAAAATCAGGCTCAAGGTTAGCACTTTTATAAATCACCTATTTTACTCAAAGGTATATTTTCGAAGCTTGCATTGAAGAAAGTAGATATCTACCTAAATGGCTTAAGACAAAAAAAAAGAAATAAAGTGTGGAAAGTAACAACAGTAAAACTTGGTAGGTGCCGTAAACTAACTCATCTAATTTCTCTAGCGAATCACAGCTTGAAATATATTCCAAAATCCCTAACTTCACGTCATTCCAGAGATTGCTGTTGATAGTGACCAATACATGCTCGTTTCTCTTTATTATTATTATCATGCATTGAAAACGTCTGAGAGGTAATTGCAACAGACTGCTTTGAAGTTCAGCTGTAATTTACCCCAAGATTTTAGAGTAACTTGAAATAGGACAACATCTGGTAAATAGTCTTCTCTGCTTTATATGAAGTAAAATTAAAACCAGTCTTAGCCCATCCCTTACCCCATGTACGAATGGCTGAGAATTATTAGAAGCTATGCCTGGGTCTCCAGCCTTCACCACAATATTCATTACAAATCATGGACCTGTTTGACAATGAGGTATGGCATCTACTAGTTCTATGTAATATTTTACATGAAATGGCAAGTTGTTTTGTGATGTTTTTTAAAGGAGAAAAGGGGAAATTATGCTGGGGCAATGTTCACTTTTTGAAGAAAAATTTAATTGACCCAAGGTAATATTTTTACTACATATACAAAATAACAAACAGATGCTGACTTATTTTGACTGGCTTCCAGATGCAGTGACCCATGAAGTTAATACTGACCACGGTGATGCTAGCTGTCCTGGTGAATAGATTCAAGAGATGCCAGTCCAGTGGGTTCTGGTTTTCTTTCATTTATTTTTTCCAACTTGGACAATCACAAAGTTTTTAAACCAAGTTCCTGCCTTAATTTCCTTATTTTCCCCCACACTATTGAAAACTGTTTAACCCTCATGAAAATGCTTGGCTTCGAAAGATGTCTTTATGGGGAGGAAGTTCTGGAAAATCTTTTCTTTCTGGAAATTCTCAGTAAAGTTTAGGGAAAATTATATTTTTCATATCATCTATAAGTCATAAAATTAAAATATTCTGTATTTGCTGTTCTCTATGAGGAATGTTTGAGGGGGAGTTTACTCGCATTACAAAAGATGCTTACATGCTGTAATGAGAACGCGGAGTCTTTCTGTCATTGTATGCATGTGTTCAAGAGGGAGGAGATAGACCAAAACGTACAAAGACAGACTTCACCCAATTCATGTTCTTGGCTCAATGTTTCTCAGTCACGGTACACATTGCAATGAACAAGCAGACTGGCTAAAGGATATAGTTGGCTGACTAAACATGAAAGACATGGGGACTTGCCATGTTTTAAAGTTGCTCTTTTTAAAATAACCAAATGTCTCAATAAGGAGAGTTCTGCAAAGGATTTCTCAAAGCTTAGTTCCCAGAACTGTCTGAAAGTTTATCTCATCATATCTTCTTGTGTTGGCTGTATAAGAACATGGAGCTTCCAAGATAATGTTCAGAATAGATGTGTCACCGACCTCTTGCCTTCTAGAGAATATTTGATTTGTAGAGACAATTTACATAAATTTTATCTTCAGTCATGCATCTAGTCTCTGAGAATCTTATCCCTTTAGAATTCCTCTTTCTTAGAAGGAGCTTCGCTCCATCACTGATTTTTTTACACGGTTGTGCTAGCCAAGTGCAGTGGCTCAAACCTCTGCTTACACACCTTCAGGAGTGAAGAACTCGCTAACTCTGTCTTGTCAGAACTTCCCCCAAAGTTGTTTCCTTATGCTGAAATAAAATATGATTATCTTTAGCTTTCATTCATTGGCAGCATTGTAAGTCTTGCAACCATACTAGTATAAATCTTACATCTCTTCTTCTTGAGAACACAACTATTTGAAGAAAAGTTTCTTGGGTCATCTAAGCCATCACATCTATCATGCTAAACATACCCAGTTTCTTCTAATATTTTCCATATGACAGTTTTCAGACATTTCATCAGCTGCTTACTTGCTTTGGAATAAATTTGCTTATCTGGTTCTTGGATATGCCCGAAGATGGAGAGAGAGACACATGACTATAACCTCCCTCATCCGACATTCTGGTCTTCTATTCTGCAGCCTAATGTAACGTAAATCTTTTGGCAGCCACTTTCCATGATTGGCTCACTTTGAGTCATTCTCACTCATAGTGCCACAGAGTCCTGCTTCTTCCACCCTGAAGCAATGAGGTACACTTAAACCTAGGTGACTTTTATTTATTCTTAATAAATTTCACCTTCTTGTATTCCATCAATCGTTAAAACTTGAAGTGATTTTCCATCTGTATTTATTGCCCCTTTTGTGATATATCAGCAACACCTATGAGAATCATCCCTTCCACGTCCATGGACAAGTCATATGTGGCTTCAGGTGTTTCTGAAGTCACATAGCAAATCACACATTCTAACTACTTGCTTGTGATTTCTGAAGAAGAATGCAATTGCTGGAGAGTCAAGCTTCTAAGAAAAAAACAGCTCTGCATTCTGGATCCACAAAGTGATGCTACAGGCATCCTAGGATGACTCGCAGGGACCGCCACCATCCCAGAGGTGGAGTGATTCTGTGCATATTCTTAAATCTCAGAAGCTTCAAGAGCCACGTTTTATTATTAAGCATTTTATCCCATGAAACTGCTGCAGTGTATTCAGAGACATTTACCTCTTCAAACAGGTTATTTTATCTAACAGTACACTTTGAAAGTTACCTGTAGTTGCCTAGAGCAGGTGGTCTCCAAATGAATATTTAAAATGCAATGTTCCTGTAGGAAATCAAGTCAGAGTTGTGCAAATGTAGCCTTTTATGCGAGAGGTCTTCAAACCTAGATGGCTGCCTAAGCAAGGTTTACTAGAGTTCAACTAAACTAACTATGTCTTACCTTTGCCCAAACTTCAGCTGGCCTGTGACATTTGAACATCATGAAATATGTTCTTTTTTTCTCGTTATGATTGGGATGTAAAAACTTGAAGATGGCAATATCTTTAAGACAACGTTCTTGTCAAGTTCATCAGTGGTTTCTAGATTACAAAATTCAATGGTCGATTTTCAGTCCTCATCTTACTTGATCTCTCAGTAGCAGTTAACACAGTTGAACACTCCCTCTTCCGGAAAACTCTGTCCTCATTAGGTTTATGGGACATCACTCTTCCTTGGTTCTCCTTCTATCTCAGTGCCTCCTCTTTTGTCATCTCGTTTACCTTCAAATGTCTAGTGCTTAAGGGCTCAGCTCCTGACCTCTTCTGTTCTCTCTGTATATTCACTCTCTTCTTGATCTCATCCTGTCTTGTGGCTTTATACCATATTTACAATAACAAATCCAAAGTTATTGTAGTTAGCCCAGAACATCTCCCTTGAACATCTCTATCTAACTGCTTACTAGACATTTCCAACTTGCTATCTAATAGGGCATCTCAAATTTAGTATGGATTCCCACTTTCTCCCCCAAATCTGTTCCTCCTGTTTTCTTCCCCATCCTTGCAAATGGAGACTCAATTCTCCGAGATGGTTGGGCCAAAAATCTTGGAGATGAATTTGTCCCAGAAAATCTTGTTGGTTCCACCTTCAATATATTTCCAAAATCTGACCGCTTCTCACCATCTTCGCCGTTACCACTCATCCAAGCCACCATCATTTCTCTCTTGAATTTCTACAATATTATCTCTACTTTATTCAGGTTTTTGCTCAAATATTACTTTCTCAGAGAGTTCTTCCCTGACCACTTCATTTGAAATTATAACTCCACTCCTACTCTCAGCTCTCCCTATTCCCTTTCTCTGTTTCACTTATGTTATACCAAAGAACCTATCACCACCTGGCATACTATATATTCTCTCTATATACTAGACACTATATATATACTATATATATACTATATATAGTTTGCTTCTTTGTTTGTGTCTGGTCTATCGCCCACCAACTGGAATATAAGCTTTAGGAGGATAAGAAATTTTGCTCCTACTATATCATCAATGCTTTGGTTGGACAGGGTTCATTTTTATGCTTCTCTAGAGTTTTCTTGAGATTATCCACATCAATAGTGTTGCCATGTCAGTGCATCACTAACTTCTCTGACCACAGGAAATGCTGGGCGAGTTCACTACTCAGCTTTGTCCCTGCTTCTCTGCATCTCATGCTTGTCCTCCCAGCTGGGACCACGGAAGGAAGACTCCTCCTCTTCCTTTGTTCAACTGCCTCATTATTATTAGGGGTATCATCCCAAAAGACGATTTATGAATGTAATTCTTGATTTCTGTCTTTTAAAAGGAAAAATTAGGTTTAACGACATTTGCTTGAGCATGCTCCCAAATAGCAAAGATGATGACTGCCTGAATAGTCTGCTTACAAATGCTGCAGGAAGACCTCTTGCCCCCAAATTTCTTCCACCAAGCTGGAACACAGTAGCATCTGAATGTCCACCTTTAAGCCCCCCATTTTGAGGGCAGTGAAGGAGAGATTCATAAGTTTACCAGTGCAGAAATCTTCTCTTTCTCTTTGGTAATCAGCATACCTCACTATAAACTATAAAGCAAAGTGTAGTTATTTTTAAATAGAGTAAACTCAGAAGTTCAGAAAATCAGGACAAATTGTTGTTCTATCGAAGAAGGCTGGCCTGAACTTTAAAAAAATATGTATGTATGAGTTTGTGTGTATGTATACATGTGTATATGTATATACATTCATCTTCTGCCTCTTCTTACTTGTGAGTCTTAAGATATGTCCTCTTTATTTCTCCTCCTCTGTTTTGACATTGAAGAGTATGTGGCAGGCAGATTTGGCCAAGATGACTCCAGTGGATATGCTGTTTTTAATCTTGACAAGAGTTACGGAGAGAACTTCACCCTCTCCATGTTTGTTCGAACACATCGACCGTCAGGCTTACTTCTAGCTTTGGGAAACAGCACTTACCAATTCATCCGTGTTTGGCTAGAGCATGGCAGACTAGCAATGCTGAATCCAAGTTCCCCCAAATTAGTCGTAAAGTTTGTGCTTAGTGATGGAAATATCCACTTAATATCTTTGAAAATCAAGCCAAATAAAATTGAACTGTATCAGTCTTCACAAAACCTAGGATTTATTTCTGCTCCTACTTGGAACATCCAAAGAGGAGATGTCATCTACATTGGTGGCCTGCCTGACAGACAAGAGACTGAAGTCAATGGTGGATTCTTCAAAGGCTGTGTCCAAGATATAAGATTAAACAACCAAAATCTGGAATTCTTCCCAAATTCAACGAGCAATTCATCCCGGAATCCAATTCTTGTCAATGTGACTCAAGGATGTCCAGGAGACGACATGTGCAAGGTAGGCTTATTCAGACCAGCTATGTCCATATTGTATGCTAAAGTTCTATTTTATTAAGTAGATAATTTATTATAACCCTTCTTTGTATGTGAAGATGATGTTTCTGACCCACTAGCTATAGAATAATACTTCATCAATATTTTCCCAGCAAGACTGGGGGATTTATATTGAGCCACAAAAATATGGCCTTGGCCTTATTGGCATCATGGTCTATTTACTTAGCCAAAATAACTCCATCTACACACTTCTCCAACTCACACAACAACCAGATTACTCAAGAATAATTGTATTTTAGTTCCAAAATTCTTAATGGTGTCCCAGAGTTTTGACTGAATTAACTCTTTTTGGAAGATACCATTAACTTTATCAAGAACGTTGAACTTCTGTTATAAGTCAAGAGTGAAAACCTGAGAAGTAACTTCCTTCTGGTAGTTGTATTTGAAATTCTCTGAAATATAATTTCTCAGAGCCCATGCTTTACTTCATATATTTTGTATGCTCTTCTAAAAGCTACTTAAATGTGTGAATTTGTCAGTTCTGCATGACCTTTCAAAGGAAAAGAAGGAAACACATTTATAGCCATTAAACATTTATTGAGCTCTGACTATTGCCATGCACTGGCCTTTCTTCTAAATATGCAAAATTGAATCACTGTAACTTTACAATAGGAGCCTTCCAATGTGCCAGGAACGATTTTGCATGGATCAATCCATTTAATTTTGTTGAAGGACTATGAGTAAAGCAGACATTGTTATCCCCATTTACATGATTTATAGATAAGGAAACTGAAGTTTAGAAAGATTTTGTAACTAGCCTAAATCACATGTTAATGGTGGAACTGGGATGCATACAGTCTAAACTTTCAGAAATTCTTATTCAAGTACTGTCATTTCAAATACTTTGTGAGAAACCTTGTGAGGACACAAATAATAATAGTATGTCTCTGATTCAGAGGCAGAGAAACTGAAGGTGATCCTGTAGTGGGACCCAGAGGATCTGGGTACCAAGCTTCACTGTTTGACTTTGTGAGAGGGTCTTGGGCATCAAGAGGCCCTCAGTTTCCTCATTAGTGAAAATGAGTAATAATATCTACCTCCAATGATAATTAGTGTAATGGAAAGTTCCTGGTAATTTGTAAGTTACAGGGAATATTATTATACCTTTTAAAACCCTCCTTGTGTCATAGATCAATTTTATTTCTCTTTCTCATTCCATCTCTCTCTCTCTCTCTGTCTCTATCTCTTTCTATCTCTATCTCTATTTCTCTCTCTCCCTCTCTTTCTCTTTTACAAAAGAGCTGACAATAGAAGCAGTAAGTTTTATTCCATTTAATAACCAATTGGTATAAAAAGTTTAAAATGTAGATACATAGGAAATTAGCATTGAAAACAATAGATACGGGGTCTTGCCTCACCATGTCCATTTTGAGTTGCTGATATTTTTTATACCTTTGATTTCTCTTCTGCTCAGTCCAATCCCTGTCACCATGGAGGTGTTTGCTATTCCCTTTGGGATGACTTCTCATGTTCCTGCCCTGCGAACACAGCTGGGAAAGCCTGTGAAGATGTTCAGTGGTGCGAACTCAGCCCATGTCCTTCAGGAGCCCAGTGCCAGTTGGTGCCTCAAGGATTTGAATGTAGGTAGAGTTCAAACCTATCATCCAGCCAAGTAAGTTGAGCATTTCGATTAGTCCAAAGAAGAATACAGACAAAAGCAGCTTTCTGAAGAAACCTGTGATTGTCTCCCCTAAAACAAGTAGTGTGATAAAGCAGATTGGCCTCATGCCTCATCCTGCCCTGGGTTTCTGGGTGGGAAATGGAGATCATAGCAACACCAAACCTAGATCCTGGATCATTTAAAGCTAATTTCTGAAGAAAGAATTAACCAGGTAGTCTTCGGCTTTTCTTCCCTCTCATTGGGAAGACAGAGTGAGTGTGCTGGTGTTAGCACACTCTCACTGATTAACTATGAGACCTCCGGCAGTTCACGCAATCTCCATAATCTAAAGCTTCCTCATAAAATAGAGATGAAATATCTACTTTATAGGTAGACAAATTTGTGTGTGTGATGTTTATATGACATTATGTGTAAAAAGCCCAACATACTAGGCACCGAATTAATGTTTGCTATGAGTATTTCCCTCAATCTGAAACGTGTTCCTGCCCATCTTCAGTACTGCAGAATACGGTTTCCCAAATGTTAGCAATTTGAATACTATCTTCACAACTTTGACATATCCTCATACTAACCACATGGTTATTTATATTCTGCCTTCTCTCCTACTTCAAATAATGCACAGTCCAATCAATAGCCAACTCTTTGCACTGACTTCTAATCTCTTCCCCTTATTCAAAAATTTTGTTTCTAAAATTTTTTTCTCACTCTCCAGAATCATCAGTTTTTCCATCAGCACATAAACATATTGTCACATTTCCTCATTATGAAAAATTTTCATTGACCACTCCCATCTCCATCATTTTTCTGCTTCCTTGTAAAGTGGGAGAAACCCTCTAAAGAGTTGTCCCCAGTATACCTGTGATGTCTTACTCCATTCTTTCTTTTACCCCATTCAGCCAAACTCCCACACACCACCACCACCTCGATCCTGAACTATCTCCACCCAGAGCTTCACAGGTTGCCTTCATCACTTCATTCAGTTCTCTACCCAAATGCCTTCTTACCTGGCTTTATTTTTTTTCATATCTCTTGTCACTCTGTCGTGTTTTGTTGTACATGTGGTTGTTGTCTTGTTCATCATCTCTTTCCTCACTAGAATATAAGTTTCAAAAAGAAAGAAAATTTCCTGTTTGGTTTCTCACATGAATCTTAGCGCTTTGATTAATGCCAAACATAGGAAGTTGTCAATAAATATTTGTTAAATGAATAAATTAACTTTTATTTTTCTTCAAACTAACTCAATATTTTCACTTAACTACTCTAGATTTTAAGTACATTATCTGTGTACAATTAAAAAAATGCGTAAAATACGTTGGAAAACATTGCACTAAAATAATAGAATGGAAATAGAGGATAGGCTGACCTAATATCACCAACACCCTATTTAGACTGAGTCCCAAAGTGACTGAGGCAAACAGAGGAATATATTTACTTTTTTTTTTGGTATATTTCAAAAACATATATTAAAAATATATATAAGAGGGAGGCCAGCCTGTGGCCTAGTGGCTAAGTTCAGCGCTCTCCACTTTGGCAGCCCAGGCTTCAGTTTCCAGGCATGGACCTACACCATGCGTTGGTGGTCATGCTGTGGCAGTGAGCCACATGCAAAAGAGAGGAAGGTTGGCACAGATGTTAGCTCAGGGCCAATATTCCTCAGGAAAAAAAAAAAAGATATGTAAGATGTGTCGCATGGTATATATAATTGGGGAAGATTTCTAGAAGAATGCATCCACTTTTATGTTTCATATTTGAGAAATATATACTATACACACATATAAAATATAATGAATTGATGTAAAGAATGTAATCTGGCTTCTAATATGGCACGGAATTTTAAATTCAACCTTTCCCATTTTTCTACCTCTGAACTACTTTTTAAAATACTGTTTAAATACTGTTTAAAATAATTTATTAATTATTCATTGTATTGTTAATATTTTGGTGGAAATGCTAAAGTTGTGAGTCCCAGTAATGTTCTACAAACGGGTGTACATCATTTTGAACATTTTCACGGAGAAGAAAGGAACAGGATTTCTAAAAACAGTAGCAGTCCAAGAACCACACCACTGATGCCCGTTGCCCTTCAGTCTACACAAGAAGCAGTTTAGGATTTGGACACACGTCTTAGAAAGAAATGAGTTCACTGCTACTGTATTCCTCCTACAGAAAGGGTAGAAAGTCTGCCTCTGACTCCTGGAAAGTCTCAATAACATTTTTTAAAATTGTGACTTATCTTAATGCAGAGAGAAAATGTAAATCAATGGGAGGGGCGAATTTTTCCTAATCGACAAGTGTGAACCCTAGAATTCCCTTTTGCTACTTGCATAATTTTCCCTCTTGTATTTTTTTTCAAATAAGATCTAAAGAGAAGATTAGGTCTAATAGAATGACGTGCTCTTGAGAGTATGGCTCATACGTGACCCTGAATTTGCCTTCAGGACTTTAGTCATCTCTATCTCTCCATCTGTCAGAAAACCAAGGTTTAAAAATTTAGAACCACCTTAGATACAGGCATGTTTATTATGATAAAGTTCCCTGAAGAAAACATGAAGTATAAATGTTATGTGTCTTGTTGTTCTTTCCAAGATCACAAGAAGTGATGTCAGTGTGCTCAGCAGTGTTAGTAAAATGAATCTATACAGCATCACAGACAGGATTGTTCCTTTAGGAGTTGGAGAGCTAAAGAGATTGTCATTTTAACCTTTATTTAAAGACCCATAATGAGACCCTTGTTGCTCTTTTCCTCCCTAATCCCAGCCCCAAACCTGGTGGAGAAGACAGAACGGTCAAAAGCAATAAAGTCAAGTGAAATTTTAATCCAGTCAAATAATACACTTGAAGGATAAACTTGAATTTTCTCCTGCTGTGGTTTCTAATCATTATCTCATTTTCCAGAATTAAGGATTGAGTTGTTTCTATAGATTATTCCTTTAGTAATATTTACTGAACACCTGCTGTGTGTCAGGAAATATTCTGGGCATAGGGATTTAGTGATAACCTAGACAGAGGAGGCCCCTAATCTCATAAAGTTCATGTTCCACTGCGGAAAGACAGACAAGGAACAAGTAGGCAGACAGACAGTATAATTTCACATAGTTATAAAATGCTATGAAGAAAATAAAGCTGAGTAATGAAATAGAGAGTGGATTCAGAGAGGAAGCTATTTTAACTTGGGCAGTCAGGGAAAGCTTCTCGGAGGAGGTGGCATTTGAGCACATATTATCTTGAGAAAGAGCCAGGTATGGGAAGATGTGGGGGAAGAATAGGTAACAGCAAGTGTAAAAGGTCTGTTTGGGGAACAGGCTTCCTGTCTTCAAGGAATAGCAAGAAGTTTTTGTGACAGTAGCATGTGAATGAGAAAGACAGTGGTAGGAAATGGAACTGGGGAGCTAGTCGGGGGTGAGATCTCATAAACACTTGTAAGCCACATCTAAGATTTAGGAATTCTTTCTAGATGTGATGGTAACCAGTGAGGTCTTGAGATAAGGGGTGGTTGTTATATTGATCTGCAGAGCAAGAGAAGCAGGGACACTGAGAAATAATTAGAAAAGTCTATAAAAGAAGCGTTGGTGGTTGGGTGTGATGCCCCACAAGTGAGGGAGAGACAGTGTTTTAATGTCACTTTCTACCAAAAGGTGGAAGAAAGCAAGAATAGAGAATTGATGGCTAGATTGAGTGACATGAAGGTCATTGTGACCTTGACAAGAGTGGTTTCAGTGAAGTGACTGGAACGAAAGGTGGAGTGGCATGTATTAAAAAGAAAATGAGAGATGAGAAAGTGGAGACAATGAGAATTTAAAATTTTCTAGAGAAGTTTTCCTGGGAAAAGGAATAGAGAAATAAGAAAGCAAGGGGGAGGGGGAGGTCAGAGTAGTGCTTTGGGGATTTGTGGGTGTGGTTTTTTTTAAGATTAGAGCAATTGCAGCATATTTGTACGCTGATGGGAAACAACAAAAATGGAAAGAAAATGATGTAGAACAGAAAGAAGTTAAATGTAGGCACAACGTCGAAAAAAGTGAAAACGAATGGGACCCAGTGCATGACTGGAGGGGTTGACACTGGATGGTGCGTTGTATCGCTTCTCAGCCTTTTGGCCAAGATCAAGTGGATGGTGTGTTGGAAAAACCTGGCTTTTCACCTGAAGAAGGAAAATCTAGTTCCCTCTCCTGTGTGTTTCTCTCTCACTTTTACACTGCCACCACACTCACAACACTTCTCACACCAGACGTGTGGGGGTTTCCCCCACCAAGCAATCCTGTGACGCCAGCTGGATGCTCTACATTTTAATTCAGTTTAATCAGTTCTGGCACTGTCTACCTGGAGGTAACATCGGATCCCACAGGTTAGGGGCTCAGTCCCACAAGACGGCTTCTACCCCATTTTAGATGCCAATCGTAAATCCAGGTTGTCACCTGTACTTCTGACTGGTCAGCATTAAATCTGAAGTGTCCACGATCCTCTCCTCAAGTTTGATTAATTGCTAGAGAGGCACACAGACCTCAGGGAAACTCTTACTTACGTTGACCAGTTTATTGAAGGATATGATAAAGGATACAGATGAACAGCCATAGGGCAAGGGCTGGGAGGGTCCTGAGCACAGGAGCTTCGGTCCCCATGGAGTTGGGGTGTGTTGCCCTCCCAGTGTGGATGTGCTCGCCCACCTGGAAGCTCTTCAAACGCCATACTTTTGGGATTTTGATGAAGGGCTGAAAATTCCAAGCTTTTAATCATGGCTCGTTCTCTCTGGTGACCAGCCCTCATCCAGGATCCATTCGGGAGCCCGCCCAGAGTCACCTCAATGGAACAAAAGATGCTTGTGATGCTCTTATCACTCAGGAATTTACAAAGTTTATAGGAGCCCTGTGTCAGGAACCAGGGGCAGAGAGCAAATATATATATTTTCTATTATCTTAGAGACGAGAAGAAGGACAATGCGTCCATTGTAACAGAACGGAAAGCAGAGTGGACCCAGATACTGTTAGGTTTGCGGATTAGGCGGAAAGCTGAAGCAGTTCTTTTTTTTTTTTTTTTTTATAATTTGAATTGAAAGCCTCAGCTTTCTTTCTTTTTTTTTTTTTTAAAGATTTTATTTTTTCCTTTTTCTCCCCAAAGCCCCCTGGTACATAGTTGTGTATTCTTCGTTGTGGGTTCTTCCAGTTGTGGCATGTGGGACGCTGCCTCAGCGTGGTCTGATGAGCAGTGCCATGTCCGCGCCCAGGATTTGAACCAACGAAACACTGGGCCGCCTGCAGCGGAGAGCGCGAACTTAACCACTCAGCCACGGGGCCAACCCCAGCTGAAGCAGTTCTTAATCACTCCTATTTTCTTAAGAAAGGATCAAAGGAGATCATAAGCTAAGAAAGGGTTAGATATTTTAAGAGATAGAGCAAGCTGTGAATGGTCTTGTAGACATGGAAAAACAATTCAATAGAAAAATGCAGTAAGATTGCCCAGAAGTGCTGCGGTCACGTACAATATGTGGGCATAAAGTAGAGCAATTGTTGTGGTTGTATAATTTTGCCCAGCCAGGTGAAGCTACCTGGGTTAAGGCACAGAACTGGTAGCTTGACACATAATTGGAGTTTGCCAGGTAGGTTAACCAGCCATTTGGGTAACTGCCTTCTGGTCAGCTTCATCAGAAGCCACACTCCACTGTTCGTCTACTGCATCACCATAGCTAGATTTGTGATTCCTTTGTGCTCAGTTTCTTTATGTATAAAATGGATAATGTGGTGGCAAATCTAAAATAAATATTGGCATGTATTAGGATTTCGATGGAAAAGAAATATATGGTTTGGGTTTTGGTATCAGGGCATCCAGGCTTGACATTCTGGCTTTATTATTTATTAGCCATATGACACAAGGAAATTACTTAAATTCTGTGAGTCTCGATTTCTTCTTCTATAAAATGGGGATGATAATAATAATAAATCTGGATTCAAGAATTCTGTATTAGAAATAATATAAAGGTGATTATCACAGTGCCTCACCTATATCAATCAATACACGATGGTAGTAAGGTGACTATCATTAATATTAGTAAAGATAATTAAGCAAATGTTACAGATTTCATAAAGTTGGTGATTGATATTGCCTTGTCTCTTTAGGTACTGCAAATGCTGTTTTTAATGGACAAAGCAGTGAGATATTATTCAGAAGCAATGGGAATATTACCAGAGAACTCACCAATATCACATTTGGCTTCAGAACAAGGGATGCGAGCGGGATCATATTGCATGCAGAGAAGGAGCCTGAATTCCTTAGTATTAGCATTCGAGATTCCAGATTATTATTTCAATTGCAAAGCGGCAACAGTTTTTATATGCTGAGTCTGACAAGTGTGCAGTCAATGAACGATGGTATATGGCATCAAGTGAGTCTTTCCATGACAGACCCACTGGCCCAGGCCTCCAGGTGGCAAATGGAAGTGGACAACCAAACACCTTTTGTGACCAGTGCAGTTGCTACTGGAAGCCTCAACTTTCTGAAGGATAATACAGACATTTATGTGGGTCACCGAGCTAGTGACAATATGCAGGGCCTGCAAGGGTGTCTAAGTACAATAGAAATCGGTGGCATTTATCTCTCTTACTTTGAAAATGTCCGTGGTTTCATTAAGAAACCTCAGCAAGAGCAGTTTCTGAAAACCTCTGTAAATTCAGTGGTTACTGGCTGTTTGCAGTTAAATGCCTGCAACTCCAACCCTTGCTTACAGGGAGGAGATTGTGAAGACATCTATAGCTCTTACCACTGTTCCTGTCCCTTGGGATGGTCAGGGACACAGTGTGAACTCAACATCGATGAATGCTTTTCAAACCCCTGTATCCATGGCAACTGCTCAGACAGACTTGCAGCCTATCACTGCAAGTGTGAGCCTGGATACACCGGTGTGAACTGTGAAGCGTTTATAGACAACTGCCGGAGTCACCAGTGTGCAAATGGGGCCACCTGCATCAGTGACGCCAATGGCTATTCTTGCCGCTGCTCTGGAAATTTCACAGGAAAATTTTGCAGGTGAGCACGACATTCATATAAAACTTGGTCTTTGGAGCTATGCTCTACAATTCCTTGTCAAGTTGGAAAGCTCTCCCCTCAGGTATGCATGTATGGGCTGCACTGAACAGGGGTCACGTTGGGCACTTCCATCACAACTTGGTCATGTAAAGACAGGATCTCACCTGCTGGGATGTTGTACAAGGAAGAATGGTAGTGCTTTGGCCAAACTTGGAGCAAAATATTTTCTCAGTCATCTTTGTTAGAATATGTCTCGTGAACTACACCCCAGAGTCTGACGGCCTCAAGGCCTCAAGAAACAAATACTTTCACAATAAATACGAAAGCTGAATTTTAGTATCATTGGAGGGAGCATGACTCTCACCCCTAAAACAGCACCCTGGGTTATTTCAGGCAGGTAAATCTTGTAAAATCATGAAAAGATTATGTTAAAGTGTAATTTCAAAAAGGTGATATCATGACTCTCAGACAAATGTAAACGAACATGTTTTGAGGATTTTATTTGTCATTAATTAATGAGGGCAACCAGTAAGATGTAAAAACTAGTTCAAAGGACAATCTAATTATTATATTTATAATTATACATATTTATATAGATATATAAATATATCTATATAAATAGGGATGAGGAAATGAATTTACCAATAAATGTAAAACTGTTTAACGTCCTAGAGGGCAACGAAATTAGTATCTGAAGCCGTCTTTTCTGCAGTGTGATAATCAATTGTATCACTACAGATAAATTCATTTGCATTTCCATGAGTAAGGTCCATTTGTATTAATATCATTTTCTACAACTTACAGAGTTGTAAAATAGCTTAGTAAAGAAAATCTAACGCATACACACCACAAAATCAGATCATATTAAAGGGTCCTTTATATAACACCCAGCATTGCATTGAAAGAATACCCAGTGATCTATTTTGCCCATTTCAAAGTATTTCACAACTTTTTCTAAAACTACAAAAGCAGTATTTTAGTTCTAGTAATGACTTCCATTTCATGTTATATAAGCAGAAACAAGAATGAATATTTTCCTACTAAGTCACATTTTTTTCAACATTTCCACGTAAGCAGAATTCATTATTGCTTTTGTAACTTATACTTGTTTTAAATTCACTAAACAATTTAGTCATTATGGGGAGGTGAGAGGGTTATTATTAACAAGCAATATATTCCAGGACTTTGGCAAGAACACCTGGAGTGTGCTGGTGGCCTATAGACATTACAGTAATTCAGAGGTGGGACCGCAATTGGATGAATCTCCTAGCAGACACAACATGAGGCTGAACCTCTAAGAAGATGTATCTCCACAACATTTATTGTTGTTCAGAGCCTATGAAGGCAAAGCACAGTGTTATGTGCTAAGTGTTGACATTCCAGTAAGATTTCGCTTCTCATGGGTTAGCCGACTTATTTGCCAATATGTAAACTGCCTGTTTAAAAGTGAAAGACATTCAGGATCAAAATTAATAATACTGCCATGGTGACTTTGGATAAGTCAAATAAACGTCTATGCCCTAGTAATTAGTTCTTCAGTATTTTTTTTCTGCCTAATTCATCAAAGTCAAGTTCTCAAAGATTAAAGTTCTCAAAAGTCCCTTCTAATGAGATTCAAAAACTGTTTGTTAAATGTAAGATGTATACAAAGCTTCATATTTGCATTGCTAATTGACCTCTTTCAAAGCTGGTTGACATTTTTGGCTCTTTTGAAAAGTCCTTATGATTTTTTCTTTTTAAAGTGGAATTGATTAGCTCTTATGGGAAGAGACACACTTACCATCATTACTATCATATAGGCTGCTTTCTCCATATTAGCTGCAGCATACACAACAGGACAAAATTACATCCATCTTTTATTTCCTGAATATTAATTACGTACCAGACACCATGCACATGCACAGGGTGTCAAAGTACCTGAATAGCACCTTTAAAATCTTTTTAATCAGTCTATGCATACCACTGGATTTTGTCTTGCAATAAAGTCCTGCTTAGCTTCTAACAATTCATTCACGCTTTTCTAAGCATTCCTTAATATATACAGGTTTGTTGTTAGACATTCTGAATTCACGTGTAGTTACCACTGAGTGCTATACACAAAGCTCCTGGACAGCATTTGGTTTGCATTCTGCTAAGCTATGAATTATTAGATAGGGAGCAACAACTGTTGGCAGGGCAGCTGGAGTTCAGCTCTGAAAGCCAACGGAGAAGTCACAGGAGTTCTTGGGCACCGGAGTGCTGTCCTTTCTTTCCCAGCCTTTACAGAGATGCAATTTTCCTATGGCCTGTGTTGATTTATTGGCAAAGCAGCAGCAAATCTAGTTATCGCAAGTTTCTTTCCAACGCTAAATTTACTGCCACTCTGTGGCATAGATCTTATCTCACCAATGGAAACTGGGTAGAAATGGAAGATGTATAGGCTTGCTTGTTACAGCGCCCTCCAGCAGGAGCTGTTTACTGAGAAAGTGACTCTTGTCTAAGGCAGCACAATTAAGCATCTATAGCTCAGCCAGCCTGAGTATTTAATTAGTTTGGCACTGACTACATATACGAACCTTTCCAAAAAGTTTTCTTGAATGAGATGAACAAGATGAACAGCTGTGGCTGTTTCTTTTCTCTCTCCAGACACAGCAGATTACCCGCAACAGTCTGTGGGAATGAGCAGACAAACCTCACTTGCTACAATGGAGGCAGCTGCACAGAGTTCCCGGGTGGATTCAAATGTGTGTGCCGGCCAGGTTTCACTGGGGAACGGTGAGTCACGTTAGAACTCTATAGAAGAAAATGGTGAGCTGAAGAACAGCGGGATCATTCAAAGTTTCTTTCTCTGCTAATTTTTCATCTCAGTTCCCATAGGAAAATCTAGGCTGAAATAGAGGTCCAGCCAGAGTCAAACAATGAAAAAGAAGAAAAATTATGGTTTAGGTCAAAGTGAAGAACGCTTTATTAGCCAAGACTGCAAATAAGGAAATATGTCTTTGAAAAATGTAAAATGTGAAATTTTTTTCTCATAAGTACTTCTGGATTCATCTTTCTTTCCCACTAACTGTAGCACATGTTGCAAATGTGGTCCCTGTTGAACTAAAATAGAATAAACCTAAAAGATTGCTTCATAGAATTACCTAGACCCCTAAAAGTATACACACCTCATCCATGTGAGTCTGCCGTTCCCAAAGAGACCCTTCAACCCTTCTTCGCCTGGTGCAGGATTGTTGACGTGGAGTTGGTCAACGGCTTCAGATGGTCTGTGATGTGCTGATAACACAGGCAAATTTGGTTATGCATTTGACTGGCTGAAGATGAGGTCAAGGGTAAAAAGGGCTTACACTCCCTAGCTTTTATCAGATTCTCAAAAGGAATCAATGTCACCAAAATGATGAAAAACCAGGGCTCTACGGGATAAATGTATTAGAGAAGCAGATAATAGTCAAGGACCTGTTGAGCACTATGCCAGGCCCCTTACAAATATTATCTCTAATTGTTAGTATTTCCATTTTGCATTTGTGTAAACTGAGGCTGAGAGGTTAGGTGACAAGTGGCAATCCAAATGTATGCTGCAGTAGGCTGAGGTGTCTTCCAAGCCTCTGCGCATCTATTGGATGTGCTGGAATAAATGTATGAATAAGTCTTTGCTTGCAACAATTAAAAGAAAATAATAGAAGTGCTCCTCCATCTCATGGACCATGCAGGGTAAGACATTGATCTCTGATCAAACTGCTATGTTAAACGAATAACGTAAGTTAAAGTCCAACACTTTTGGAAAAGAGATTTTGACTGAATTAATTTTTCCCGAAAGGGTAGTTAATAAAATAATGGGTATATTTGTGCTCCATGACAACTACAGCTGAGATTAATTTGAGTTTTCTCTTTTTCAGCTGGCTCTCTTGGCATCGCACAGATGCAGCTCCTGTGCCATTTTTAGAAAACAGCAGGCAATCTAGGACACACCTGCATTTCACCCTCCAACATTCAGTGACCAGTCTAGTTCAAGCTTTTACAGCCTGCTCTCGGTGGCTGGCACTAAGGGGCACAGCCAGGCCAAGCATATATGTGCACGGAAGGATAGAGCCTTGAGTCATCTCTGCTTTTCGTTGCACCAATTTTTATCATGCAATATATTATTTAACACAGAGACCATTCAGTTGTCCTCCAACTCTATACATCTTCAAAATATTGCAAATATTTCCTTGTCCTAAATTTTGCACAACTCTTTATCTGGATTTAAATTCTGATTACTTCCTGCCTCAGTGTCACAGTTTAATGCTTAATGTCACATTAATGCTTAATGACACATGCATAGAACTCATCTAAAGTCTTGGATTATTTTTCTCTGTTACTCACACATTGTCTCTATTTACAACAAACATTTCCCTTTTCTCCAACATTTATTTGCTAAAAAAGTATATATATCTGGCATTTAAGTTCAAATTATTGATTTGAAATGTGGTAAGAAAAGGAAGCACAAAGTTCTCTTTCCTCTCCCAGGAGTCTTTTCACCTGGATAAACTCCTCTGCTGCAAATGGATGTCTGAAATAGCGAACACGTGTTCCATAGATTCTGTACTTTCAAAGTCCTTACCCATCATTAGTTAATTCACTGCATGGTAATGGAATTATTTATTTTGATTTTCCCTCTATTAATTAACCTCTAATGAAAGCTCCAATAATGTTTATAATGAATGTGTATGTGTTGTACACTATTTAGGCCAAAAGAGAAACAGATAAGAAATTGAGAAAGAATAGCCAGAGGGAGACTAGAAAATACCAGGCAATCTCCCAAGGCCAAGGGGCACGTGACTTCCATAACATCCAAAGAGACTGAAAAGCTGTCCTTTAACAAATTGCCTTCTCTTCTGTCTAGTTAAACCTCCAACTTTGGAGTGTCATCCTGGCAGGTTGTAGATGATGGATGGTGCGAACGCTCTGGCCCACCCAGGACAGAGAGTGCTTGGCAGGCTTCTGAGGGTTGTCAAGTTTGGCTCAGCTCTAATCAGAGAAGTCTTCCAGCCCAGAAGCCTAAGCCAAAAAAGGAAAACAAAATGTTTCAACTATGCTTGGTATCCAACGGGATAAGGAACTGTTTTTCTGGGAAGAAATCCTTTTTTCTTTTATATCTTGTGTTGGCGCTGCCCCATCCACCACCTCATCCCCTTTCATTTTGAGCCTGGTGGTCAATGATCTATGCAAGTTTTAGCTTTGGGGAGGTGGGGAATAAAAAATTCTTTACATTAGACTTCGGCATTGTAAACTGCTCCTTAGAAATTCTCGAAGCTAAGATTTTATGTGAATTTCCCAAAGCAGAAGAGATGCCATAGTTACTGCTCTGTCCTAGGGCCTAGCAGAGGGTTTACACATGGTGAGTGCTAAATAAATATTCAATGGATGACTGAATGAATGATGGGAGAACTAATCAGTGGATATACAGAAAAACAGTTGTTGGTGGAAAATTAGGTGAAAAACAACAGTTTCCTCCTAGAGAAGAGAAAAATTTCAATTTACCTTAGAACTGATATCACTTGTCTTGGAAAAATTGGCCTTTGAAAGTCATTCCATCTGAATATTCACAAATTATGCTTAGCTATGAAACAGATTTATTGGCAAGTGAAATCTTTTAATTATCTACTCTTGCTTTTTGTTAAACAGATGCCTCAGAATCCCAACAGCATGAGGGTGAGTCCGCCCTGTAGACTCCAGGCTGGCAAAATACAGCCTCGCTCTCGTGGGTCCTGGGTGCCCCCAGTAAAATGAACTTCCACAAGGTGGCAAAGCCATTAACGCTCTTGAGGGAGAAGCTGGTTTCTTCATGGCCCTGTTTTCTCCTGGTTTCTAAATATTTGCACCCATTTTCTCATTCTAATTAACTGTGTTTATGTGCATGTGTACGTGTACAAATTATTTCCATTAAAACCAAAATTAGTTAAAGGAATTCTGAGGACCACCTCCGTCATTGTCAAGTACATGTGAAGTGTGTGGGGATTGGTCAATTAGACTATATGTTCGAAGTAGAGAAGGCAAATTTTTTCTTCCCACATTTCACAGTCAATTTGTTCAACGGGGACCTCGGTCTCTGCTGTTTCTGTTTGTTTGCAAGGTGTGAAAAGGACATTGATGAGTGCGCCTCTGATCCGTGCTTCAACGGAGGCCTCTGCCAGGACCTTCTCAACAGATTCCAGTGCCTCTGTGATGTGGCCTTTGCCGGCGAACGCTGTGAGATAGACGTAAGCGGCCTCTCCTTCTATGTGTCTCTCCTGCTCTGGCAGAATCTCTTCCAGCTTCTTTCCTACCTCATTCTGCGCATGAATGATGAGCCAGTTGTTGAGTGGGGTGAGCAGGATGATTATTAATATACACTGGAACAGCCCCACACTTAAAAGCCGTTGACTTTCGAGAGAGGCCTTGACTCATTTTAGTTCTCTAAAAAAGAAAATAAAAACCATCTTCAAAATTAAATTCAAGACTATGTTAAGCATATCACAAGCACTTTATGAGTATATCAAATATTTACCTAGTGTAGCTTTACATGTAAAAATATCCTTCTTAATATAACCAGAAACACCTCATTGTTGAGTGTACTTAGTACAAATACGTTGTCATTCTCAGAGCTTCCGTATTTGAATGACCACTGAGAAAGAAAGCATTTTCTCCTCCACTTCATTTTTGTCTGTACTTTGTAAGTTTCCCTCCTACATCCTGATCCTACATCGTTTAACATTCTGTCCTTCCAATCTATCGCTCATGCTGTGACAATTTGAAAATTACTGATCAAACTGTTTTTATGACCATCTATGTTTTTATGCATAGCTATTCAAATGAAGTGTTGCCAGGTCTCTGGTAAGTTAAAAAAGATATAAAGAGAAAGCAGGGAATTACACAAAGTCCCTAAACATGTGGAAAGGAAACTTTCTGATATAATTGGTATCATTGCTCAAATTTTGCCTCACCAGTATAATTTATGATTCCTTGAAAACTTCTCTCCTCCAACAAAAAAACGGATAAACCCTTTCTCCATTTCTTTTTCCTGCTACACTTTCTACTCAAATAGAATAACTTTTTGTTAATTGCTTATCAGTTTATGAGCTTGTTGACATTTCTATCAAATAGACTAATTTGAACTGCTCTTTGATTTAAATATTAAATGCATATTTAATAAAAAAGAAGTACTATTGCATCTGCCTACACCAAAAAATATATATTATAAAACTTGAATTTCTTGGAGGCATACTTTTCTAAAATTTGCAAATAAATTTATCTTGAAGTATCTTTCCAAAATATCATAAAAACATAGTACCTGTCATAATCAACATATATTTGACATTATGATTTTTATATATCTAAAATGATGTGTTCATAAGTAAATTAATTAATAAGATATGCAAAAATTTATTTATTCTTGCTTAACTTTAGTAGAGTATATAAAATAGTAATTAGGAAAAACGTTATTTGATAATATTTTTAATTGTTTTCACTGGCATGTTAGCATTTATGCTAAATGTCTTGGCATGGACGTACTCTTCCAAAGGAGGCATTATTTGTGTTCATTTAAAGGGAAAATAGTTTGATCCTGTGAATTAATCTAGAAAGCAACTACAATAACATAGCCTGCCTGATGTCATTTTGTAAATGTGTCCATGTCTTTAGGAGCTGCCCTGGTTTGAACATGTGAGGGTAATTTATCCACTGGGTGATATCCAACACTCATTTAGTTTCAATTGTTTTAAGAAAGTTGTTTGTGGAAATAACCAAGGTAAACCTAAATATGCCATTCAAAACGAAAGAACAAAATAGTATACTATAAGAAAAAGGAAATATATTCAATTTTATTTTTCAATAGTAATAGAAGATTTTATGTGACAAATTCACATCCTGTGGAATACTGGCAGTCATTTCAAACTGGAAGCAACTAATTTTGAAGTCTTTCCTTTATGTGCATCCATTTCCCTTGCATCCTGGCAGCATGTGCCACATGGGATCTCAGATGATCTGTTCCAAAGTTAGATTCTGTGACAAGAGACTCAAGGAAAACCTTCCCATCCATAGTTGCATTCCAAAATATTTGACTTAAGCCTAAAATAGATGATAGCCCAAAACCATAAGTACAGTTTTTACATTTACTCCCTTTTGGACACATCTGTAATTATATACTTACAGGCTACACCAAAAGTAGTATGTTGCCTTCCAAATATATTTAAGAATCGCTCACAGTCTCTTTCTCTGTACAATTCTGGTGCCTCTGCTGTCACTGTAATTGTCAATTGCTTTTCTGTTTTCCAAATGTCTTGTCATGAGATATCTGACTTCAGACAAAAAATTCTGTCCCTTTTCTCTTTATTCATCTGTATTTTCGATTGCATTGTGTGTGACTATGGCTTTTCCACTTGCACAGAAAAATAAAAACTTTGTTTCTGTTTCTTTACTTCTCATCTTCTGATAACTGTCTTTGTTTGCCTTGACTGTGTCTTGCATGATGAGACGTCCACAAACCAGGCACACACACACACACACACACACACACACACACCCCGCCCCCTCATAATGAACACAGAGACGCAAGCGATGGTCTTCCTGAATTGTGATCTCTTGCCCCAGTTGTGTCACTGCAGGCAAACACCTGTGTGGTCAAAGTCAGGGCTGCATGTACTTCCCCTCTCTGGCAAGTATTCCTCTAGGCCACATCTGGAATTGACTCCATCCCTGACTGTTCTTACTCTCGGTTCGCATGGTCCCTGCCCAAGCTAGCCATAGTTCAACCTGGCTCCAAGGAGGGGCCATCCCACCTAAATGACATAAATTCACACAAACGCCTCTAGACCAAGCTTCTGAAATATAAGCTGTATTTAGTTGAATAAAAAAATAATTTCATTTTGCTCATTTTTAAGATTTAACATTTGAACCAAACAAGGCTATGTCTCTGTTTTGGGCCATGCCTCCTCCCCCTTTGTGTGTGGGTATGGAGAGTAGCTTTCATCACTTTCCTTTTTGGAGGATAGAGAGGTGGGGAAAATAGGGAGGTTTGAAGAAATCAGTGTTTTGGCAGCATGACGAAACAATTAAACTCAGTAACAATATTGAGAACCTACTCTTTGCCAAGGACTGTGAAAGCCATTTTTAAATACACAATTTTTTAAATATAAGGGCAGCCAAAATCTCTCACCTTCCAAATCCTTCAGTAAGTTGTGTTTAAAGATCCTTTTGCTATTTCTGGGTTTTAAAATGGAAGTTATTTTTTACAGAAGTTATTGAGGTTTAATTTTGCAGAATTAAAATGGAGCCTTTTCTGGAAATGGTGATGCATAAAATTTGAGGTTAATGATTTACGTAGGAAACCAGTGAAGAAAAGAAATCTATGTTTTTCAACCACCAAAATTATTACCAATGTGGACTATTTCACTTGTCTAGGTTATTTTTTTGATTTATTCAACCAATACTTAATGAATACCTACTGTGTGCCGTGCCCTGGACTGGGTACTGAGAATACAGCTACAAATTAGGTACAATGCTTGCCCACAACAAGCTGAAGGTCTCGTAGGGAATGTACCAGGTAAAGAGACAGAGAAAGACAGTTCCTGGGTCAGTGTTAGGATGGAACTAAGCGCCAGCTGTAAAGGGGCACATGAGAGGGGCATTTTGTCCAATCTTAAAGGTGGATGCAGAAGGTCAAAGAAAGTCTCAAAGCCTAAGCTGAGATTCAAAGGTAAACAAGTATTAGGCTGCGGCTGGAGGGATGGAAGAGTAGAGGGTGTCGGAGGCAGAAGGAGCTGCAGAGGTTGTGCGGTACAGCCAGAGCGGGAAGAGGGTTGGGAGCACAGTCAGACTGAGGTTGTAGAAGTAACACAAGTGAGTCCTTGTAAGCCAAGTCCGTGACCTTGGCTTTTCATCCCAGAGCAACGGGGAGGCTTTGAAGGGGTTCAAACAGAAAAGTGACCTGACCACACTCACACTTTAGAAACATCACCTGGGCTTCTATGTGGAGGATGGACTAAAAGAAATGCAAGGCTGGACCCAGAAAGACCCACTGAGGAGGCTGCTGCCGTAATACAGACAAAAGGAAAGGACATTCTGCACCGCCTGAAATGGTCAAAGGGGGATTAGAGAAGAGGCTGGATTAACAAAACTTGAGGCAGGAAAACCTCGTGATTGTTCGGAACAGGTGTAGGTCTGAGGGAAAAAACGTTAAATTTGGTGAATAGTATTTTTAAATTATTTGTTTATTGAATAAGTGAATAAATGTAAGGTTCAGTGGGATAGCCAAGTACAGTTACTAATCACTGTGAATCTTCCGGTCTGAAGTTCAAGAGACGCAGCTGAGCTGTGTGCATAAATTTGGGAGTCATATTATAGACCTGTTGACCTTTTGCATTCCATTCTTCATATCTGTAACCCATTTGTATTTTTTCTTTTATTTTTCCTGATTTATTGAGATATAATTGACCTAGAACGTGTGTGAGTTTAAGGTGTGCAACGTGTTGACTTGATGCACTTACACACTGCAAGCTGATTACCACCATGGCGTTAGCTAATATTTCCATCCCGTCACATAATCACCATTTCTTTTTTGGTGGTGACAACTTTTAAGATCTACTTTGCTGGCAACTTTCAAGTATACACTATTATTCCAGTAATGATTATTACAATAATCCAGTATTGTCAACTGTAGACCCCATGCTGTACATTAGATTCCTGGAACTTACTCATCTTATAACTGAAAGTTTATGCGCTTGGACAACATCCCTCCATTTTCTTCACCCCTCAGTCTCTAGTAACCACCATTCTACTCTCTATTTCTGTTTCGTTGCGTGTTTTTGGATTTTACATATGAACGAGATCATATAGTATTTTTCTTGCTCTGTCTGACTTGTTTCCACTTAGCATAATGCCCTCAAGATCCACCCATGTTGTTGCAAATGGCAGAATTGTTTTTTCTCATAGGTGAATAATATTCTACTGTAATATATATATTACTGTATATATACATTATATATATATATATATCACATTTTTTATCCATTCATCCATCAAGGGATACTTAGGTTGTTTCCATGTCTTGGCTATTGCGAATAATGCTGCAATAAACATGAGAGTACATATACATCTTTGAGATTCTGTTTTCAATTCCTTTATATATATATCCAGAAATGGAGTTGCTGGATTGTATAGTAGTTCTATTTTTAATTTCTTGAGGAACTTCCACACTTTTCCATTGTGGCTGTACCAGTTTACCTTCCCACCAACAGTGCACAGGGTTCCCTTTTCTCCACATCCTCACCAACGCTTGTTATTTCTTGCCTTTTTGATAATAGCCGTTCTAAGAAGTGTGAAGTAGCATCTCATTGTGGTTTTGATTTACATTTCTCTATTAATTAGTGATGTTGAATATCTTTTTATGTACCTGTTGGCCATTGTATGTATTCTTTGGA